AATAAAGCAGGATTCAGTTTACTTTTATGTTTTTCTTTGAAACGTTATATTTACCATTATTAGTTGATTTACACCTGCTGTTACAGAATTGAATTCTGTTGAACAGAAATCATCAATTTAAGGGGCCTACTGTGATTGAGTTATTTATTTCTTTGATTAATTGAAGTACTTTGTCCTGGTGGTTTTATTGGGTCTGTTCTGAGGTGGTGCCTAAAAAGATGATGGTTTATTTGACTGTTCTGGGTTCTCTTTCACAGCTCACTGTTGGGTAAGAGGCTGTGACTTGTTTTCCAGGGAATTCTTTAAGTTGCAGGTTCTTGAATTTTAAGTTTTATTGTAACCAGGCACCCAGGAGTCAATCTGTGGCAAAGGGTTGCAAAAAAATGGGTTCTTTCTGGATCACCACCTGTCCTAGGAGATGGGTCAGGAGAGTCCTTTTGTGGTCACTACCTATAACGAGCAAGACTTGTGATGACTTTCAGTCATGGAGGATGGGCTCAGAAACGAGTTTAACTGGGGAATCTTACAGTATCACCAAGGAGGTCACGGTCCCTCAATCCCCGCACCTGCCTGTCCCAGCACCACACACACACCCACCATGGGGTCAAGCCCTGCTGCTGGACACAGTGCATCTGCAGTCAGCAATATGATACTTTCCGTGGCTGCTCTGTGCATTCAGGCCAATCCTGAGCATCACATTGTTGGTTTGGGGACAAATAGACTACTTGGGCAGCAGGTGGTTTGGGTTTAGATATTAACTGTTTATGACAGGTAGGTGCCAGGCACTGTGCTAAATATTAACTTCTATTGTGAATAAAGAAATTGAGGAGTCAATTTTTCTTCTACATTTTTTTCCTATTTCTAGGAAAACATGACTGACATCTTTGGACACTAGACCATACGTGTTTGTCTATGTCTGTCTATCTGTCTCTAAGTCCATCAGTCCTGATTAAATGATGTCATGGCTAAGTCATTCCAAAACATCACAAAGCTAACTTCATTTGCTCACCGCCCTACAAACTAAATGCATGTGACTGACAGCCAGTTCCACCCAGTGGTGAGGATTCTCATCTTTTAAATATGTCTCTCTTTCGATTAAAATCCTTTAATGGTTCTTACAGTCTTTAGATACAAATCCGACTTAGCGCCGTGATCCTGTCTCTGCATTTCTCTTTCCTGTCCTCACTTGCCACTCACCTGTACTTTATGTTTGTCATATTGAACTATTTGATGTTCCTAAGCTATCTGATTGCTGGAGTGTCCCAGCTCTGGAACTTTGTATGTTTCTTTTACCTGGGTGGAGGGTTCCTGTTATCCACATGCACACACACACACACGCACACTACACAGAAGTGTTGTCTCTGTTCCCATAGCACCTGGTGTGCGTTGCTTTATCAAAGCCCCTGCCACGTTGTTTTGCAACTTTGATCTCCCAACAGACTGAGTTCCACAGGATTGGAATCTGCTTTTTTATCCTTCCATCTGCAGCAGCTAGCCCCAATGCCTCGCTCAAAATCATCCAAAAAATGAATGACTGAATGATGCAAAACATCCTTGGGTAACTTGGTGGCTGAATTAGGTGATAGTAGGTCTATGTTTTTCTGCGATTTGACTTGGGTATATTCCAAAAGAATGTGTGTGAAGAATGCGTCCAGCTAGCAGATCCATGACGGCAAGTTTGCCAGCAGCTAAAACTGCCCGAGTCGTCACAGACAGCAAGATGCCTGAGACTGCAGGGCTGCGAGCTGTGTTTATATCAGGTCTTGGTTGGATGAGGAAGCGAAAAGAGATGCTTAAAACTATTTCTGTGAGACTCAGGCACTATAGTGTTGACAATGGACTAGTGCAGGTGCATTTACCACACCCGCTTCCCTCTGTGGAGCTGGGGCCAGGCTGAGGCCGGGGCTGGGGCGAGATGGCGGAAAGACCAGGGGGCTTAGAGGAAAAAGAAGGTATTGTAAGGCAACAATCAGAATCCTGACATTATAGTATGGGTGTTCCGGAAACAGCACTGCCTACGTAAGAATCTCTGCTACGACTGTCACAAGCTGTGTGGCCTTGGCAATGTCTGTAACTCCCCGACCCCTAGTTCTTCCATCTGTAAACTAGAGGTGTGGTTTACCCACTCTAGGCTAGGTCCAGACTTCACGTGTCAGGAAGGCGTTGGTACCACAGCAGCATTTGAATCCCCAAAGACAATGTCAGCAGTCCACTCGACAGCGAAGTCTCTATCTGAACATTTATTCCACAGTCATAGAAACCAAAGATGGAAAAGACTGGAGGACATCTCGTCCACCCACGGGTTGTACAAGAAAAGTGGCCGGAGCAAAGCAGCCTGTTCACGTCATGCTCACAAGACAGCATCGCAGGTCTTCCTGGAGCGGAGCGGTCGCAAACACATTAAAATGAACACACAGTGCAAACACTCATACAAACCTTAAGAAAATACCTTTAAGTACATTATTTTCATAAAACGATTAAGAACTAAACTAAAAAAAGTGAGGGAATCCTGGATTCGATGGATGGCGTCGGTGGGCGACGGAAGGAACAACTAAACAGTGAAGGCGGTGACGTGGTTTGGATGACGAGAAAGCAGTTTCTCCTGGGGACTGGTTGGATTTCCTGGTTTGCTGATCAAAAATCTGAGCTGGGAGGAAGAGAGGCTCTAAGTCGTTTCTTTCCCCTTCCTTCTCTCTCCACACCCAGACATGCTCACCAGCTGCGAGGCTCTGACAGACACCCCCCAACCCTGAGACGCTTGCTGCCCATGTAGCAAAGCTGTTCTTGGTAGCGGCTCCACTTACCACCTGTCCGGTTGGCACAGAAGCAGCAGATCTTGTATAGAGTTTGTGTGACATCAAGATCCGTGAGTAATGGAGAGTCACCTCCAGGCACATTGAAGACCTCAACTGACTGGTCCCTACAGCTGCCTCACTTGTCTGCCCCAGACACTCTCCCAACTTGTCTTTCACTGTTGGAAGAGTCCCTTGTCTTTTATCTCGAAGCATCCACACTCTGGGGCCCTGATTAATATTGATACGGACCGATCTGTCCTCACTCACCCCGTCATGCTCTATTGTGTGCTTCCTGTGCCAGGAGCGCCTGGAAAACAGGGTGGGGGTGTGTGACATCAGGTCCCATCCCTCCACTGAGCCAAACCGGTTTCGGCAGCCCAACTTGTCTTTCACTGTTGGAAGAATCCCTTGTCTTCTACCTCGAAGCATCCACACGGGCCCTGATTAATATTTACATGGACCGACCTGTCCTCACTCACCCAATAATGCTTTATTGTGTGCTTCTTGTGCCAGGACAGCCTTGGAAAACAGGGTGGGGTGTGTGTGACATCAGGTCCCACCCCAGGTTCCCAGCACCAGGGCGTGGGAAAGACTGGCCTTCCCAATCTCATGAAATAAGAGCCCATAAGAGGAGGAAGGTAGCAACCTCCCTTACATCTTTGCCCACACACCGCCTCCGCCTGAGGACTTTCGGTCTTCGTGTGTTCTGAGCCTGGGGCGTGGAGGGAACAAGTGGAGCAGAACAGAAAGGAGGGTTTCCAAAGGACCCACCATTTCATGAAATCTTTTTACAAAACACAACACACTGTTTCACAAATTGCAAAACACTGTTCAATCACTACCGATAAAAACAATCACTACTAAGTGTGAAGACTGCTTCATTTCACCATGAGCAAAGATGCTTTGTTTTTCTGTACCCAGACCCGGAGGCGTAGCAGGCAGAGCTGAAGGCAGTAGGCCTGCTGCCAGCCCCTCCCTGCTGCTGCTTGCCACATCCAGGCCCCAGCTCTGGCCAAGCAGTTCCTCAGGGGTCACCCCGGGAGCTGTGCATGGGCCGTCTGCTCCGTGGAGAGGCAGGGCGGCCTGCCATGTCACCCTGCTCAGAATGCCTCAGTAGAGAAGCTTAAGGTAAACCCGATATACAAAAATCCAAACTTACAAAACAGATACGTTAAGGGACAATTAATTGCATTACAAAAGGATTCTTTACAAAAGAATTCACCTCTGGGTTCCTTTAAGTAGCCAGCTTCTCGGGTACAGTCAGGAGATGAGCTGAGTTATAAAAATGTCCATACGACATTAGGAGCATGGCTGTTCCGGGAGCTGAGGTACACCTGTACATCCGGGCTACTCGGAGGTCAGGCGTGCACAGAGCATGACGGCAGCAGCTATAGTGTCCCCAGCTGATGTGGATGGGTGGGCACCGCTAAGGGGCATAATCTTTCAAAGGCCGTTGCAAACCTACTTCGGGCCTGGGGTGAGAACAAGCGAACACAGGGTGTTTCAAAGCATAGCGGTCCTGCTTCCACAGTTCACCAGCTCCCTCCCTCACTGCTAAACTGTTCCATCTGTGAGGTGGATGGCGTCTAACGAGGACCCTCCCATCTCCTTCATTAGCATCTCTGCCTACATCCACCCCTGGGTTTTCTCAGACAATTAACTGATTAACAATTAACTGAAGTGTGATCTAATTGGAGGATGTT